ATCTGTAATTCTGCTTTCCACAGGTTAGCCTGCAAGACACCTGGTGGGTTAAGCTACTGTGTGAAATGCTAGCCTTCTGGGATAACTATTGTACAAGATTGCAAAAATGAAAACAAACTCTTTCCCTGTACTAGGTTATTGAATATGTGTTTGTAGCTCTACTCACTAAGAGATGAAATCTTTCTTTACCCCTTGAATACGGGCCGGCCTGATGAACCGGGTAACCAAGGGGGCTGTAGCAAACACGATGTAAGCAGAGACTTGGAAAGTGCTTGGGTATTGAGGCTTCTCCTACTACTACCTGTGGAAGCTGGTGACTGCCACCATGTTAAAAAGTGAAGCTAGCCTGTTAGATGATAAGAAACATGTGGTCTAGTTAGCTTCCAATACTCCACTGTCCAGTCAGCCTGTTGTCAGACAATAAGTGAGGCACCATACTGCCACTTGACCACAGATAAGCTCAGGGGAGTCCAGAGGAACTGCCCAGCCGAGTCTACCTGAGCTCAACCCATATTGCCAATTCATAGAAATGTGAACTAAATCAATATATTTTATTTAAGGCACTAAATTTGGTGATGTTTTTTCTATTTGTCTACCTGCTACTTACAGGATAGTTTTCTTGCCTCTGTTCTTTCTCATACTGCTCTGTGGAATAGATCTTTTGATTTATTTCCAGGGCATGTGTCTGCTCACTTGACCTGTTTGGTTTCCTGATTACTGACCATGAAGTATTAAAAATCCCCAAAACTTTATTGTTGAAAGTATTACAGATGTCCCCCTTTTTTCCCCCATTGACCCCCCTTCCCTCCACTCCCACCTCCCTCCTGCCTTCCCCATGCTATTGTCTGTGTTCATTGGTTATGCATATATGCATATAAATTCTGTGGTTTATATCTTCCCACCCTCCCCACCCCCCTTCCCTCTGAGGTTTGTCAGTCTGTCTCCTGCTTCCATGACTCTGGATCTATTTTGATCGTCAGCTTATTTTGTTCTTTATATTCCATAAATAAGTGGGATCATGATATACGTGTGTTTCTCTGACTGGCTTATTTCACTCAGCATAATACTCTTCAGTTACTATGCTTGCTATATGATGGGGCTACTAAAAGTTAATAATATAGCACCTTGGGTTACATGGAATGAATTCTGTGTTTCCTTCTGTTCACCTAAGTACATGAAAAACACGTAAAAGATGAGTGGGTGAAGCATTATTGAAAAAGACAGATAAAAAGTGGTTAGCACCAAAGAAACAAAGCAAGAGGAGACAAGGGGACTGAGCAGTTATGTGTAGCTCTCTTCTTCCCTTATGTACCAGGAATCAGAATATTTGTTTGTTTTAATACCCTATACCTTGGCAGAATGCTGAGGGGACCTGCTATTAACATTTTTCTTCCTGTGTTTGCCATTAATAACTTCTTTCTTTCTTTTTTTTAAGACAAACAAATTTTTTTTTTCTTCGATATTTTGTTCAGATAGAGTGGGAGGGAGAGAGAGAGAGAAACATCGACGTGAAAGGGACACATCGAGTGGTTGCCACCCACACGACCCAACAAGGGCCACGGACAAACTGCAACCCAGGTACGTGCCCTTAGCGGGAACCAAACCCTGGTCTCTCCAGACCCCAGGTCAATGCTCTAACTGCTGAGCCAAACCGGCCAGGGCAATAACTTCTTCCTATTATGAATGAACCCAAGTCCTCTGGCTAAAGCTTTTCCATGTTTCTCTCAAACATCCATGTTTCTTTCTCTCTCCCTCCCTCCCTCCCTCCCTCCCCTCTTTCTCTAAAAAGAAAAATCAATTAAAAAACATACATCCTCAGGTGAGGATTTAAAAAATAATGGCATGGCCATCAGTGTGGTGATTGGGGATGGGGTGGAAGTGGAAGAGGGCATAGAGGGGATATAAATGGTGATAAAAAATAAAATAAAAATAAAATGTAAAATAAATAAATAAAATAATAATAAAACTAATAATAAGTATTATATTTAAATATGTTTCCCTTGTTAGTGATTTTATCTTAACATGCTTTGTTAAGAATTGTGTGCAGGTGCACACAATTGTCAATTCCCTTAATATAGAAAATAGCGTGTTTTAATGGGAGTGGTGGGGAAGGTAGAAAAACAAAATCAAACAAAAACCAAAACATCCTTAAATAGTAAGTTCATGAACATCTCTATATTAAAGTTATAGATGGGATCTAGCTTGAACTCGACCAAAGTAACAAAATATTATAAAATCCGTGGCACTATCTTTTATTAAAACAACCATCTAACCTAGTTAAAATATTTGATGCCTTTTAGATACAAAATAAGGTTGAATTACAAAGCATGTTAAGATAAAATCACTAACAAGGGAAACATATTTAAATATAATACTTAGTATTAGTTTTATTATTGCTGTTATTTTTTTATTTTACATTTTATTTTTATTTTATGTTTCCATCACCATTTATATCCCCTCTATGCCCTCTTCCACCTCCACCCCATCCCCTAATCACCATACTGATGTCCATGTCATTACTTTTCAAAGCCTCACCCGAGGATGTGTGTTTTTCTATCCTCACCCGAGGACATTTTTCAATTTTTTGTTCAGATAGAGTGGAAGGGAGAAAGAGGAAGAGAGAGAGAGAGAAACATCGATGTGAAAGGGACACATCGACTGGTTGCCACCCGCACGACTAGCCAGGGCCGGGGACAAACTGCAACCGAGGTACGTGCCCTTAGCAGGAACCGAACCTGGGTTTCTCTGGACCGCAGGCCGACGCTCTAATTGCTGAGCCAAACTGGCCAGGGAGAGGGTGTGTGTTTTTAATTGATTTTTCTTTTTAGAGAGAGAGGAAGGGAAAGAAAGAGGGAGGAAGAGAGAAAGACAAACATGGATCTGTGAGAGAAACATCAGTTGCCTCCCGTAGGTGCCTCAGTTACCTCCCCTACATGTCCCCACAAGGGATGGAACCCACAACCTTGGTATGTTCCCTGACCAGAATTGAACCCTGTACTCCCCTGACGCTGTACTCCCCTGACGCTCCACCCAACTCAACCACCAGGTCAGGACTCAAGCATTATTTTTATTTTATAGCCGATGGAGAGAACTTCGGATACCTATTTTGTCAATAATTTCAGTGAATCAGAGCTATAAAAGCATAACACCTTAGAGCTGAAGGAATTTAGTTACCTTGACAATTACTAGTCTAGTTGAATAAGAGGTATAAATATTGGCCCCAAAGCAGGATCTTTGAGATATCCCTAGTTGTAAGATTTCCTGGATCAGCATCCTATTTCTTTGCTGCAGATATATTTTTTTCTAAATCCATTATTAATACTTATTTATTTTGCATAATCTTCTAATCACTAGATTAAGGTTTTGCTCATCGGCAAAGCTGATCAAAGTGAGCCTAAGAAGACCCTTCCTTTGAGCTCACATGCATTCAGTTTAAACCAATACCCAATTTGATCTTACCTGTAAGGACATGACCTTCCAGGGTCTTGCACATTTCGGTAAATAGCACAAGATTATTTTACCAAGGACTCTGGTTACCTGATGCTGCAGTGCAAATCGTCTCTCTAAATCCATTAAAGGTTGTAATTGGTAAATCTGCAAAATTCTCTGAAACCAGATACTATTTTCTTTTTCTTTGTGGAAAAATCGCAATCCTAGTAGAGCCAGTAAAGCCTTCTAACCCGGTTCTTCCTGTAGAGGGAGACATAGTCCAGCTTTTACACCAATTGCCGACCTCTCATCTTTTACTGTCTTTCCCTGCAGGACCGCAGTTCGCTCTCAGCAGCAGCTGCGGCTGCTGACAGAACTGGCTATTGGGAGGAAGACCGAGGGAGGCATAGCCGCCTGGTCCTGCCGTCCCATTTTACTGCTTAACTAAACCTGGAGTGTTGGGACCTGTTCTATCCCTGCATTCTCCTTGCACTGTACGGAGAGGCCGGTCACTCTGTACTACTTTGGACAGCCAGGCTAGGTGGAGTTAAAGGTGTGGGTGAACAGGCGTTCTGCCCTTTGCGGTGACTTTTTAAAAGATACCACCGGTATTTTTTTGATTGTGTAGCACTTAGGAAAGGAGGCTGTGATTACCAAACCACTTACTCTTTTTCCTTCTGTCATTTTGATTTGTTTCCTCGGCCCCCTCCCCCGCCCCTCTTTCTTCCCTCGCCTCTAGCGAAGTGACATAGGCAACACTTGCTCTTGTTGGATGTTGGAACTCACACCTTTTCGGTGGTGCTGGTGCCAGGTACTGGGGAAAGGGGGACAGCGGCGACTTCCCTTCCTCCCAGCCCAGGATGCCCAGAGGGGCAGCGGTTGGGCTGCTTGGGGTTCTGCCCGCAGCACTTCTAGGAGGGATTGAGGGGCTGCAGCGGGCGAGGAGTTGCTGCTAATTGGACTCGGCGCAAAGTCTCCGACAGGGCACCAGCTGGGACCTCAGTGCTAAAAGCGAAACACGGGCGCCTGAACCGAGGAACCCCGGCGGCTTGCGGGCGGAGGACCGCGGAGCCCTGAACCTCCCCGCAACTCCTCCACCTTGGAGACCCGGAACCGGCGAGCGCCGGGGAACGTACGTGGCAGAGGCTGCTTTCCTGAAGGTGAACTGTTCCGTGCAATTGCCTTTCCCCCGAGAGCAAAAGGGAGGGCGGGAGCGAAGGCACGGAGGATGTGTGAGTGTGTCTGAGGAGAGACGACAAGGCGAGAGGCAAAGTCTGTACTAGGCGTTAAGAGCAAACAAATCGGAGATGGAGTAAGGGCGGTAATTGCTGCAAGACCGCCTCGGCTCGCGCAGTGGGGGCAGCTGAGCGCACCGCGCGCGTCCGGCGGGGAGAGCGGGCGACCGCGGGCGCTGGCCAGGGCTGCGGGACTTTGACTTGTCCTCAGTAAACAAATCTTTTGATTACTTTGACACTGTGACATAAAGAGGGGGGGGGAAAGAGACAAGGCTCACGTGCTCCACCTTCTACCCGCTTTAAGGGGATTCCAGTGTAAATATCAAGAGACTCCGGAGCCCTCTCTGCCATCGGAGGAGGAAACACACGCGCGCGCACACACGCACGCTCCAGACCTCACTCGCAAGCCCTCCACGAGCACACACCACCAGACTTCGGTTCCCTATGCCCCTGAACGGGGACGGCGGATTGGCATCTTGGAAGCGATGCAAGAGCGATAAGGCTGGCGCGGGCCCGCGGAAGCTGCAGGAGCATCGTTAGGTGTTGCCGCTACTAGAAAGCCGGGCTGCAGGTAAGTGTGAGTCGTGCCCCCCGCAGGCACTGGGGACTCGGGCGGCTGCTGGAGGACCCGGGGCCCGAAGCCCTCCCCTCGCCGGGGTCCAGGGCTATAGGGGGCTCGCCGGCGAAGGCAAGAGGTGAGAGCGGATGCTGGCCGGGCTGCCAGCGTCTCGCTCGCGGGCTGTCGGCGTAGGGGCGGGGGTAGAGGGGCGCCGAGAGGGGATCAGAGCACACGAGCAAGGTTCCGAGAGCGGTACCCTCCCTCCTTTTCGGCTCCATTTCTCCTAACGCTGCGAGCGACTCGGCCGAGGATTAAAGCGAATTTTAACTCGATCCTTCCGCCAGATCCATCTGAGTTGGTTACCATTTTGGACTCCTCACAAGGAGTTGGGGGTCGCGTTCGAGGCAGGACCGTTGAGGTGTGTCAGGTCGTCTTTCTGAAATCCCTACTTTCTGTCCACTTCTGATTAGCTAATTCTCGGGCCTGTCTGTAGACGGTGGGCGTTTCGAAGAGGCTCTGGATTTCTCTACCTCTGACTATTTTCATAAAGAATCATCTTGATAAGTTCCGGAGCCCCATCTATTTAAAGGTTTATTTCGATTTGGGAATGGACGCTTTATTACTGAATGAAATAAACCTTTCATAAAGGTTGCTACAAGAGCCTCAGGAAAAGGATCACTTTACGAACAGCGTTAAAAACACAAACACAAAACAAAACAAAACCCAAACAAACAGCTTCGAGAAACTAATGTTTTTTGTTTTTATTTTTCATTTCTTTCCGAATAAACCTTGCCAATAGCGCACGGTTTTTCTGCCTCTTTGCTTTGCTGTCCCTTTACTCCCTCCGGTTCCAAAAGGCCGGGCTCCTATCTGCAGGTGTTTTCTTTAGGCTACTGATCTTCACTTGTCAGAACGGGAATGTGTTGTTTCCAGAAACTGCCTTTGCAAAGGAAAGTTTTGAGATCCACCACCTGATTTCTCCCAGGACTGCAGGCTGAGCTATCTAGTCTCCACTTGAAAAGGAGGAACTGGGGGCGCTTGCAGAGCCCCCGGGTAGACGCGATGCTTTCCTCTTCAGTATTCATTTCTGACCGAGTGTTAAACAATCGCCCGAAGCGTTTGGAATCAAAGGTGTAGTTGGTACTGTGGCTACTTATCCTCTCTTCACCTTTTGCTGGGCGAGTTTGGCTTGTGGTAGTGAGACAGAAAAGAAAATATCTTCGTTTTGTGAGTGTTAAATCGCTTCTTGCATTTTGCAGAAATGCAAAAACAAAAACAACCCCCCCCCCCCCCAACAAACCTATATGCAACCTTTACTCTGAAAAATACCCACAAAGCAGTCAGTATGAGTCCTTCACTCAGGACAGGATGAATTTCAATGACTATTGACTGAAGGATAATTATCTGGTTTCTGTCTTCCCAACTAGATTGTTTGAGACATTAATGTTCAAGACTGTAATCAATTAACACATTAAAACTGCTCTATTAGGCAATGTAAGTTAAGACAATTGAGTAATTAATGTAAGATTTCTGTGGTCAATAACTAGCAAAACCCTAGCATTAAGATTATATGTATTTTACTCCAGCCTTTCTGTGTTTCTACATGTACTCTTAGGCAGGTGACTCTTTTACAGTTTCAAATTTGGCACCTAAAGAACCTCAGAAATGATCAGACACATGTGATTTAATTTTTTCTTTCCTGTTTTATTCTCTTCTGGTTCTCATCCTGGGTCAATTGTTTGCATTTTGCCCTCTTTAGAGTCCTAATTTTTAAAACCACCAGTAGCCATCGAAAGGTCATCAGTAACTACACTGGGGTTTATTTTTTTTGGTTTTCTTAATTTTCAATAAAAAAAAACAGGACTGCATTATTTATAGCTAGAATACTATGAGAACACGGCATGCCAACTGAATGCTTAGGCACGGTGACTCTTAAGAGGCAGAGCATAGTTTTAGTGTGTTGCTTTCTGTTAGGCATTTTTTGAGATTAGAATCTTGATTCTTTAGCACCTTTAATAAGTTCTTGTAGTTTAGGATGCATAAACTTACATATTAATATGTAGTGCTATGATATATGTCTCTTAAAGAAGAACCAGAACCTTGACATTAGTGCTACAAGTTGTGCTAAAGGGGAATCGAAGTTTACTGAGTTCGTGATTTTGAATCTGAAAAATGTTAGTTATTGTAACAATGACAAATTGTAGAATGAAGATTTATTGAGATGCCCATGGGTCTATGTAAAAAATGATACATATTGCTTAGAGACTGCATTATGGTATTTACTAACCACAAAGTTATAAATTGTGATGGCACAGCTATAAAAAGGTCTGTTTGTAGACATGATTAGTTTTCCTTTATTTTTTAAAGATGTTTTTATTGATTTTTTTAGAGAGAGAGAGGAAGGGAGAGAGAAATAGCAACATTGATGTGAGAGAGAACATCAATAGACTTCTCCTGCATGCCCCTCACTGGGGATCTAGTCTGAAACCTGGGCATGTGTCCTGATAGGGAATCGAACCTGGACCTCTCAGTCCCTGGGATGATGCTCAATCCACTGAGCCACACTGGCTGAGCTGTTAGTTTTTCTTTTTAAAAATTTATTAAGTAATGAAACTTAGGGGTAATACAAGAGTTTATAAAAATTATTTTGAATATTAGAAAATTTTAGTGATCCTGGATCCAGTATCTTCAATATAGTATTTTAATGACCCTTTTACAGTGTGCTTTTGAACATTGAAATGTTGAAAGTGTATTTTGGGGTTAACTTGTCACTAATTGCAGGTTCTGGATAACCCTGTATGGGTAGGGTAAGATGTGCCCCTTGAGCATTTTCCAGGCATTTCTTATCATGGGCCCTAATAGAAGGTACTGTCAGATTCTGCCTAAGTTCAGCTGTGGCTGCAAGCTGATGAACATTTGTCTCTCTAATGTGTGTTTTAAACTAGGAATGTTCCAAGTGTCATCAGTTATTTCTAATATATTTGAGAAGATGAAACAACCAGAGTGCAAACAGTTCAGTGCCCATGCTTTTACTTCTCCAGTATTTTATTAGAGATGCCTCATTAAGTCACATTATTCTGCAGCTGTTTTGTTCATTAAAGATTCAAGTAAAAATAAGGAACTTTACTGTGCAATGCAGTTTTGTTTCCTTGGTGAAAAACCATAAGTGGAAGTAAAATAATCATCTAACATAGTCACCTTTGATCTATGCCTCACTTTTACAAATGCTATTCATCAACCTGTTATTAGTAGGGCTCCATCAAAACACAGAGAAGAAACAGGTTAGCACATATGCTGCTAGATATGAAGGCCAAACTAGCTGAATCAACCTCATATCTGGTCCGCATACTTGCATAGTATTTCACATAAGAAATCTTGTTTAGGAAGCATTGATTTTTTTTTAATGCCATGCAATATGATGAATTTGCCATTTCGTTCAGAAATTCTTTGGTTAACTTTATTTTAAACTATAGTATTTGAAGCATATTGAACTAACCACTGGAAGAGGAGGAATAATTTTACAGTGAGTTTCCATAAGTCTTTTTATAGAACAGTTTTACTTTAGGTTTGGCACAGGCTGACATGGGGGAGATGGAAAGATGGGCCTGGCAACAGACACCTAGAAGTTAGTTTTTATTTTTTAGTTGTCATTGACCACTGATTTATTGGGTAATTTTTAAAAGAAAGTGTGATTCTATTCATTTGGCACAGTGATTTACTGACCTTGTCAATGAAATATAACTAACAATTCTTGTCTTCTACTTATTCTTTACAGAAAATTTTTGAGGAATAGTTAGAAAATTACTATTTAAATATTTCTCGGCACTATCTAATCTCTGTATCTATACATATATATGCACATGCATACATATATACAAATGCTTTTAATGGCACCCATAGAAAATTCTGGTTTGATATTGAAGGGGGTGAGAACAACTTTAAAAATGTCTACATTTTTAGGTACATAGTTTTTCACTACTTTGCATGATTTGACCGAGAGTGCAGCTGTATCCATGGTGTAACAAGGTCGTTTATAATTGAGTTTTACTGTTTGAGCCACTGTTACATGCAGTATATTTTTCCTCTTTAGTTCTTCTTTTGGAGGTATTTTTGTCCTTGCTCTGCTCACTGCCTGTCTAACTGCCTACTACATTTTTATTTGTTAGGCTACAAATGCAAAAATAAATCAACTTTGTCCTCTATATAGGGACACTTTGGCATGTGTTTATTGACACTGCGAAAATTTCAACACATTTTAAATGTGGAACATATCTGTATGCTGTCTTTATTAAATATGTGCCTCCACAGTCCAAACATAAACCATGAGTTACATTAGAGCATACTCTTCTGGGTTACAAATGTTATCTATGCATTTTCCAGAAACATATTGATAGTGTACTCCAAATTTATGTTAGAGTTCCCAAACCCACCCACTTTCAATGTATATTCCACATGTATATGTTGGATTTTATCCTGTGCTGTAATGATAGACATTCTAGTCCCCGGAATCAGTGAAAATCTGGCCTATTTAGGCAATTGATTGTTATGACCATTGGAAAATGTAAGACTTTCAGGTTACATGGGATTCAGATGAAAAGGGACTATATTAGCTATAAGGAGAACATTGCATTTTGTTCACAGTGATCCATATGGGGTATGAGAGATAACTAAGGAATCAGAGTTTATAGTACGCTTTTATTAGATAAGGCCCTTTTAATCACTTCCTTTAGCCTCCTGAATTACTACATAGTAGCTGTAATTGTTTTATGATTTCCTCTGAATGGCCAGTTAGTGAAGATACAGCAGTCTCCCTTTCCCTTAGCAATAGCACAAACATAGTCATTCAATTAAATTTATCTTTATTTTTGCAACTCTTTACAGAGATTGGATGATGTGATAATGATGCATTCTTAGCAATTTTGGTGGTAGGCTGAATTTAGCACTTTGACAAAGTGGGGACAAGCCTCCTTTGCTTTTTTATCTCCCTGTGCTCTGTAATGCTAACTTTTCAC